GAGACACGTTCCTCTCCTTTCCGGCATGGGTGGAGAGGCCCCGCTGTTGGTGCAGACTGAAACTGGCCCTGAAGGAGGGACAGGATCCCGCAGCCTGGGTGTGGCTGGCCGCGGGAGTGTCCTGGAGCCCTACGGAGGACTGGAGCTGGATGGAATTCGGGCCTCACCTGGTCCAGGCCATTCCACAGATAAGTAAACCAAGATCCAGAGGATTTAAGGAGCCCGATGTCGCCTGGCCAAGGAACAGCTAAGCAAGGACCAGAACCAGAACCACCCTTTCTTGCCCCCACCCAGTGCTTCAGTCACTGGGGTCCCCAGGATCCAAGATGAAAGTTCAACGAGTGCACGAAGCCGTCTCCAGGGTGGAGAGCTCAGGAGGCCTCCACCTGCGAAGAGAAGTGTTTATACAGCGCACTTGCAATTGCTTGGGACGACCAGTCCTTGCTCGGAACTGTGCTGTGGGCTGCGGCGCGTCCCTCTGGGTGTCCAGCAGCCACAGAGCCAGTGGCCAGGCCTCCCACCCCAGCAGCACATCCGATCCAAAGGCAACCACTGCCTGGCCCCTCAGGAGAACATCAGGTGTGTCCTAGAAACGTTCTTTTTTAAAAGACCAGAGAATGAAAATTGTCCAAGTTGACCACACAGTACACAGCCCTGTTACCAGCGGAGACAGTGTTATTTGTTCAATTTTGCTTTGAAACATCCCAAGGAAAGGCGTCTCCTCTTGGACCGCAGCAGAAATGCTTCACAAAGAGCACCTTGTGTGGGGTTTGGGACGGGAGGTGCTTGAGCCACGTGTCGCCAGATAGAAGCAGGAGGCTGGGGCAGCCCCTCCGGAGCAGAAGCTGGCAGCAGAAGTTTCCTTGTCCTCGGTGATCTCTGATCAAGCCACTTGGTGAAAGTCCAAAGCTCTTAAGGGAACAGAGGTGAGTGGCGGCATTTGCTCTTCAGTGCGCGGAAGCAGGCCACGTGAAGACTCTAAAGCCCTGAGAATCACAGCAGAGCCACCTTGTACGGAAAGCCATCCTCAGGAAGTTCAAGAGCACCGGGTGTGGGCCCAGGGCCAGAACAAACGAACAAGCACATCCGCCCCAGGGAGCCTCCCTCTCCAGGTGGCTTCTGCCTCCCCACTCAGGGACCCGCCTGGACCTGAACCCAGCTACCTGGGGGCTCACACTGGTCTGGCTGCTGCTTCACCGTGGCTACCCCGTGGTGGGGTTTTTTGGTTTGTGGATTTTGTTTTGCCAGAAAGGGAAGTCGGCAAGTAGGCGGGAAGCCCCCGTGGAAGATTCCTGTCTGTACCTCTCCTGCACCCTCGCTCTGCCTTCACTCCACCCAACTCTTTCCCTCCCCTGGCCTCGCTGCCCCTGTGTCCTCAGTCTACTCCTGGCCTCCCGGGGTGGCCCAGCCAGCCGAGCCTGTGGGTTTCTCAGCGACTGGAAGGCACGCTCTCCAGAGGAGCTGGGAAGCCGGCCCGGGCACTGCAGTGTCAGTTGATGTCACACACTGAGTGAGAAAACAGCTCGGGCGTCTTCTTCTGAAGCCTCCACCTCTTCTCCGTCTCCGCGAAGACTCTCACACGTTGCTACCCTGTGTCCTGATACCCTAGAAACTTCACTTCGTGAGCTAGAAGGCTGAGGAAATTAACCAGCAATCCAGGAGCTGACACTTGGGCGACTCTCTGACTTCTGTTTTCCCTTGTAGAGAGTGTGACGGTGAACTAACAGCTCCGTGGGTAAATCAGAAACACGGGAGTCGCAACTGTCAGTCTTCGGGCCAGAATGTCCGATGGAGCCGTGGGGCTCTCCCATGCCACTGACACGGCGGGTTAGCTGAACAGAGCGAGTCTTACAAACGTCCTTTCTGTGGGAAGGGCCAGTTGGACGTGAAGCGCCACTTGGCTTCTGAACACTGAACCTCTGCCGCAGCTGGAGATGCAGGAGAGCCTGGGCCCTGGGCGTGCACTGCCTGGGTTTGCCGCCCAGCTCTGCCACTCTGCCTCTGTGACCTCGGGCAAGTCACTGTGCAGGCAAATCTCTGTGCCTCAGTTTTCCCATCTGTGAAGCGGGAAGAACATGACCACACATCTCATAGGGTTGCTGGGAGAAAGTAAATGAGCTACTTGCAAACAGCGTGTAGAACAGGGCCTCATGCCCGTGGCATCTAGTAAGCGTTTGCTGTCCTTTATTTTATGAGTAGCAGGTGAACTGATTGTAAGAACCAGTGTTTCTGTGGCCACGGACCCGACACTAAATTCCTCGTGACTTCATAGTGTGACCTTTTTGCTTATTTACGTGGACGCAGACCCGCTTCGATCGCCAGTTCGCAGTCCGAGTCAGTCCAATTTCGGCAGAAGCGTCCTCCGCGCTCTGCCAGCTCTCGCTGTCTGCCTGCTGCGTGTTTCCCCCGCACGTTGGCGGCCTCGTACGTTAGCCCGGGGCCGGCAGCGTCAGGCAGATGGGGCGTTTCTTCCCGATGAGTGATCGGAAAGTAGAGTCGTGGGCCAGTGAGCCCCTGTGTGCTGAGCTCGGCTGCAGCCCCCAGGAATGGGAGACCCGCCCCCTCCCCCCGGCCATTCCCAGCTCAGCAGCAGCAGCCAGATCCCCTGGCCCGTTCAGGCCACAGCCCGCCACCCCCGGCCACGGTCCCCGCCTCGGTCCCAGGTTTGCACTTCACCCCGGGCCTCCACTCGTCCAGGGCCAAGGAGGCCGGTCACCTGCGTGCTCCCCAAAACGCAGCTTGTTCTAGGCCCAGAGTGGTCCCCGATCCCCAGTTAACCAGTCCCGCCTGTGTGCTTCTCTTTCAGATGGGTACGCTTTTTCGCAAGAGGAACACGGAGCTGTCACTCAGGAAGAAATAGTCCGTGCTTATGACACCACCAAAAAGAAATCGAGGAAGAAATAAGACTCGAGTTTTCCTGACTGACTCTAGGAAGGAGATTCAGTTTGTTGCACGCAGTGTTAACACACCCTTGTCAGGAGAGACTGGCGTCGGCAGCCAAACCACCGGAAACACATTTCTGTGGCCTTAGCCCAGCGGTTTGTTAGTTCCATCCCCTCGCAAACGCGGAGCGCGGGCCGCGGGGCCGCCGTCGCCCCGTCCGTCTGCAGTGCTTAGCCTGACTTTTGTTTACCTTGTTACGAAGCATTCAACTGTGCTCTGTGAGGTGTGAAATTAAAACCATTATGTCTCACCAATATTTAAACATCAGTGCTAGCTGTTCTGGGAGAAAGGGAAAGCGGTTTTATGTTGCGTGCGAGACCCGCCTGGTGTAACTGGAGCGGGCCGCGCTCGCTTCCTGTTTGGTTAGCGCGCAGATGAGGTCCAGCGGGCAGCGTGCAGACTGCACTTCAGGCAGGTTGCTCTCTTGCTTTGATTCCTGTTTGGTTTGTATGAATGAAGTTGGCGTAAACTTCTTGATTGCAGTGAAATCACAAAAATCTATATCTGGGTGGTCAACCTGAGAACATTTATTTGAACCTCTTAGCTACATTCCCAGCAGGGCAAAGCAATCGATGTTCCGGCAGAGTCCTCTGCACCAGTTTCCAGGTGCCATCGGCCCGGTCCTGCCTTGGCTTTCCAGCGTTCCTCGTCCCCAGACCTTCTGCATGGCTGGCCACTGTGCCCAGTGCATGGCAGCTGGCGGGCCACCAGCCTAAATCTGCACTTTCCCTGGTTCCACCGCAGATGCAAATATGGATACGAGAAACCCCTTCTTCCACCACTCTTTTCATTCTAGAACTGGACAAAAGAAATGTAGCCATTCTGCATATATTCTAAATGTCTATCTGCCTCTTTCTGACAAGGGACACCCCATGGGCCAGGGTGGTGGTGGAACCCCTCCAGCACTCCTGACCACCGTCAGGCTCTGAGTACTCATTTCCCAACCTCCAGACCACTGGGCCTTGGAGCCACTTAAATCAGAACCCACGCTTGTTTTCTTAGGATTCAGAGCACATTCTGGATGTTCGCTGTTGGGAAATGAATGGATTTATAATGTGTCTGTGCAGGGAAGGAACATACCCATCACTCAGTAGCTGTAGAGTCAGAGGTTGAGCAAACCCAGACGGGAGGGTATAGGATGTTGAGGGAGGTGGAGATGACAACCACAGAAGTCCTCGGAGGGAGAAGGAAGGGCAAGGGGACACGGGGAGAAGGACACAGAGGACTTGTCCGCCAGATCTCCACAGTAGAAACTGTGAAATCAAGCCCTGAGGCCCATAGAGTTGTCACCATCAGCCCAACATGTACAGGAACTTCAACAAGACTGGGACGTGCAGTTTTAATTGAAATGAATTAAACATTTCAAGGAAACACCTTTTGTTAATATTGACATGGTTTCCTTTCTTTATCCATCTGCGTTAGACGTGGGCACCTTTCTGGGTGTACAGTGCCCCGGATTCCCAGACAAGGAGGGCAGTGCTGAGTCGCCCGCAGGGTCCCACTGCTACATCTAGACAGAACCCTCGGGCATGGTAGTGAGCACTTGGTTCCCTTAACGAACAGCCAGCCTGGGTGCACACTCTCCCCTCTTTGCTTTGGTTGCAAAACCAGATTTTTGGACGGCTTAAATGCTTCTGGGCCACCGTCCCTGGCTGAAATGGTGCGAGTCCTACTGGGGATGGCGGTGCTAAGTGACAAATAAGACAGCGGTGCACTTTGCTTCCTAGCTCTTTATTTGCAGAACATCCACAAGGTATCGGGCACTGAAATAATTTAGAATACAATTTGCATTGACTAAGAAAATTAATCCTCACTTATAAGGTGGCCAGGATGCAGAGAGAGTCCAAAGAGAAACAGAACAACGCATTTAACGGGTGAGTCTCAAAAGATGGGCATTCCTTTCTCCCCAAGGCGAAGAAAACATTTTAAAATACTAGAGCTCTCAACAAGATTCAGTCCTTATGGAAGGACTGTAATGCAGGAATTATAACACGAAATGTGCCTATGATTAACACAGCAAACCAAGTATATGTTTATTGCACACCCAAAAAGACAATGACCAAAATACAGAGGAGAAATGAGAATTGGAGTTGAATATGCATTAAGCATCTTAACTGTTTGGTTTCATTTGGGAACTAAACCTATTTAGAAAGAGTGAATTAAAGCTCAATTCTTTGTCAAACACTTAGCTCTGTCTTGAACTTGAAGCCTTCCAAATCAGATGTGTAAATTAAAATGCGAGTTTGTGTTTGTTTGGGTTTTTTTAATTTTTATTTTTTGCATTAAAGTAGGGTTCACATTTTCTGGATTTAAGCATACAGGTGTATTTTCCTATTTTGAGAAGTAGACTAAACAATTTTGGCAATAATATACACACAGAAGAAAACATTAGAAGGGATGTCTTTCTATTTATCCTCTCATATGATTAAGATTTCTTATAGCCAAATGACTAAATTGGGTTTCTGGGAGGAGCAGCTGTCACTACGTGTGATGTATAATATTTAGCCAGGGCCGACGTGGGGCTGTGCCATTTGTTCTATCTTTAAACTGAGGTCAGAGTGTCACACACAACCCCTCCCCAGGGAGCAGGTGGGATTGGACTAGGTTGCATACCCTGGCTGACAACTCAGCAAGAGAAATGCCACATGGGACTTGTCACTCTGCCACACAGTGAGTGACTCGGCAGGCTGGCAGGTCAGACTCGGTCAGCACTGCAGTCCCGACGCTGGATTGAGCTAAACTGGCGGGATGCGCTCAGGCCAGCCCTCAGTCTAGCGCTGCACACACAGCCCACTTCTGTTTGAGTCCGTCCTGTCTGGATGACTCTGCAAAAGGAAAAGACCAGCCGTGCTCCGAACTTAGGTCTGGGTTTCTGCTGTACACCGGCAAGTGCCCACAAGGGTAGCCGTGGAAAACACACTGAGAAGGGAGCGGGGAGCATAGCAACCCCCCATTTCTGCTTGGCAGTCTGGAGTGACACTTCATTGCAGGTTGGAACGGGCTTTGTACAAACTTACGGAGTGGAGCTGAGGCCGCTATCCTGCTTCTGTGCAGAATATTTGGGCTTCTTGACCAGGGTTATATCCAGCCGTCCCCCAACACGTGCACAGTTGAAAACAAAAACATAATAAGCTCTTGGATCAGCACACCGCACACAACCTGTGCGTCGGAGAAGGGAGACGCTGTTTCTTTAACACCTGTAGAGGAACATGCTCAGAAGCAAACTTGGGTTTCAGCAGAGCTCGGCTGAGAACTGTTTACATTTTCTTTTCCTCGACAGGGCTTCAGGTCTTACCACCAAGGGCAGCTGGCAGTGAAAATCAGTAATAACGTGTCAAGAAGCAGTGAATGATAGGAAACAACCTGAGTCTAGGTAACGAATGTCTGAAGATGATATAGATGTATGTATATATTACAGGCTTTAAGGCTGAATTTTTAAAAGCTATAGTCTATAATCCCCATTTGTTATAACAATGACCCTTTATCTTGTTTTTTTGAACCATAAAGAATTTTTTGTCAGGTATTTCTGTTCCTAGGGCTTCACGTCTTAGTAAGTTGAATAGAAAGTTTACAAAACTCTGCTATGGGGTAAGGTAGCCTTTAGTTTTGAACATGTGAAAGGACTGCACGTACTTCAGCCAGGGCTTGAATTACTGCCCGGGGTCATTGTCCCGAAGTAATTCAAAGAGCGATTTCGCTTCAGCATTTGAAATGGAGCCTTCATCTCCTGGGATGCATAAAAAATGTGAACGGGGTAACTGTGGCTGAGCAGAGCCTGGAATAATAACTTGGCAAAGAAATGAGTTTGTCAGTTCAAGTCAGAAGATAGCAGCCCCTGCCATACTCATGACATACTTTCTTCATGCGCATGTTTAAATGAGCTAATATAATAATGATGGGGATGGTTAAAGTAAAGCTCCCTCCCCTCAGAGAAAGAGAGTGGCGTTGTTGTTGGTTCTCCATTGACTCAAGGCAGTTGCCTGCCTCAGTATAGCCTTGGAGGAGATAATTTAACCTCATCCTAGCTGCGTTTCCATCCTGAAGGGCAAGCACCATTAGAAGGGTTTTTGATGGGTCCTAGAGGTGAGGACCCAAGACCCCCATAATGACATCATTAAGTATTCTTGAAAAGAATAGACCAGAATACACAACGTGTTGTACCTTCATTAATTAATTTTTTTCTCTGCACCCCAAATTGTCTAACAGCACAATTTTCCATTCCCCTTCACCTTGTGTGCTCTTTATTGAATGCCAAATCTCTATTAGTGCTCTATCTAAAGCTCTCAGTGTGTTGAACATGAGCGATTTCTGAATCTGGGATGTCATCCGGAGCGAGCAGAAGTGGGTACTGAGCCAACATAAATCTTAACGTCAGAAGCTGCACGCAAATGGGAGAGGAAAGAGGGGTGCGCTCCCCCGCACCCCGCCCCGTGCAGAATCCACAGGTGTCAACCTCGGGGGACACCTCTGCTCTCCTGACCGAGGGGAGACAAAAGAGGGATTCTTTGTACACCCAGGCTGGCTCCTTTTCCAGGGACAATCTCTTGCTCTCGTTGCCTTTTGAGATATCTCCTCTGCTCTTTCTCCCAGGCATTAGACCAAGAAAAACATGCTCGTTAGATTAGCCCACAGGCATTTCTTCTGACCTGGCTAAAGAAAGAAAAGAGACCTGTTTGTTTTAAAAGTCAGGAACAAAGTGTCAGGTGGCTTTGATTTATGACAGAAGAGGAAGAAGAAAGTTGAAGTAATAGCACTATCCAAATAACCCTGCCCAGGAAACAGAGGTCAAGAGAGCTTATCAAGAGCCTTTTATAGGTGAGCGCTTCCGTGCGGAAGAGAAAAGGCCGGAAAGAGGGAGAGAGCCCAAGGAGCAGGCGGGAACCCTCTTCTGTTGGGATCGGATCCAGTGGTGTCCCTAGCGATAGCTTGGTATGCAGTTACAGGTGAACACGTGAACACCA